CAAGAAGATAGCTCCGCAGTCGCATAACCTTTGCTCCAAGTCTAGCCAGTGTATGTAGTTGTTGTACGCATTCTCAGGGACATATCTCGCAAAGTCCGTGCACCATCATCTCCTTTACTTGCATCGTTGCCTGTTTGCTTTGCCACAAAGCCTGATGAGGCAGCCGCTCCTGCTGCTGGCAGTGGGACCGAGCTCGGACCGAGCTTGGAGCCGACTGAATGACTGAAAGACTCCCTGACTGACAGTGAGTAAGAGAGAGAGTGGACTGACTGACCTGACTGAGACAGCGACTGGGCCTGATGTTGGGGCTGAAGCGTGGGCAGGGAGCTGGGCACGCGGTCCTGTCATGATGCTGTTGTAACTATTTGACTTTATCTCCTTGCCGCTACAGATCCTTGGTAAACATGGAGGAGCACGGGAGGGTGAGGTAAGGCTGTGCCACAAGGTAGTGCAAAGGTATGAGGAATGTGGCGATGACGGTGACGGGAGCCCTTCTAAAAAGTAAAGAAGGCAAACGATAAACAAAGTCTACAAAACCGTTGACTCGTTGACTCCTCTCATAGATTTATATGGCCAGGTGCCAGGTGCTGGCTTCCAGGTCCCCGGATGAGGTCTCTGAACGAAAAGTGTGGATTTTTCCCTGCCTGTGTCAGTTTTTCCATTTAAAGTTCATTTTAAATGTGGGGCTTAAATGCAACTTGTCATAATCAGGCGCAAAAAACATGGCCGCAGGTCTCTCTCTCTCTCTCTCTCGCTCTCTTCTCCTACTCTACGCGACCGCTGTCCCCCCACTCCTCCACTCCTCCACTCCCCCACTGATCTTGTGTGTATCTGTCTCTCTTCCTTCTCGCCTGCCTTAAAGTTGCTTCTCCATTTTCTTTGTAGTTTGTTGCCAATTAGGGGCAAGGCACATTTTTGTTGTTGCTGCTGGTGGTGGTGGTGGTGCTGCTGCTGCTGCTGCTGTTGGTGGCTTGAGAAAATGGCACACAGCCACTTGACTTTCCCATGCTATTGTTGCCTCTACTACCCCACTACCCACAACCCACTGAGCCACTCACTAATTATGCAAAGGAAAAAATACATAGAACGAGCATTACCAGTGCCAGTGCCAGTGCAGGTGCCGGTGCAGGAGGAGGAGCAGGGAGCAGTCGAAGGTATTTCTATTGCATCTGGTCGTACTAATGTGGAACGCGGCGGCCCAGTGGCGGAACACACAAAAAGTAACGAAGACTAGTTTTGGAGGTGTCGAAGATTTTGATACCCTCACTATGGCACGGCATGCACACTCACTATGTACCTATGTGTATGATGTGGAGTACTGTGTGCTTGCAATGTTTTAGTTACAAAATTGAGAAACAGACGGACATCTGATTGGAATATGTGTGGGAGTATCCATGTGCAATGTCTGTTGAAAGTTGAAAATATGTATACCCACTCCTCGCAAAGAGTATGAGAACGAACCGCAGCAGGAACAGAGTGGGTGTAGCGGAATTCAAGGTATATTCCTTATAAGGTCAGGTTGCGATACAGCGCGTAAAAACATGCGTCGTTGCCTGCTGACTGCCACAAAAACACATTTTTAAACACAACGTTTGATGTCGAAACGGTTTGGAAACTGACATTTTTTCGTAGAGATTCTGCGCCACCTTTTCTTCAAGAATTCGGAATTATACCCTTGAGGCAGAAGTGAGCGTGTGTGAGTGTGTGTGGAGCGAGCGTATGTGGGTAGGCGGCTGGACCGTTGTCTTTTTTCGCACGTCCCTGTTGGTCCTGCTATGCCTGTGCCTGTTTGCTTGAGTGTGTGCGTGGGTGTGCTAATTTAGGCATCTTTTGTTTTTTGCGCCTGAAATGACACACATACTCGCCGTGTGGAGTGCCGGCCGTGTGGAGTGCGAGTGGGAGAGGGAGATAACAGCCTGCAGAGAATGACGTTAGAGTTGGACCAGCGGCGTACGGGCCATGTGCATACCCTGGACTGTTGATGGGCCTGTATCGAACAGGATAGTCGTAGACATTGCAAGTGCTTAAAAGGTCAAAATAAAAATATTTTGTATTTATTATTTTATTTCGCTTGGAAAAAAAACAGAAGTGGTTTTCGCGGCGATCAATTGCAACTCCGATTTCATCGAAAATTGGGCCAATATATCGACGCGATCCCTTAAAAGTGGTTATAATTAAACAAAAACTTAGAATTGCAAAAATTAAACAAAAATTCAATCAAGTGGTAACATATTTAATCCATGAATATCCTGTTAAATTCAAAGCACCAAAAAGGTGGGTATTTTTCTGCGATTTAAGGATATACATATGTACGTGTGTCGGTATATTCTACATATACAAATGTATACTCACAAAAAAGACCCAGAAACAAGCAAAAAATGAATCATTGTCTGGGTGCAAGAGGAAGAAGAAGAGCCAGTAAACTGCAAATGGGAAAAGTAGTAAAGGAGGCGACTCCATCAGTGAGAGAGTGGGGGATTGCAATGAGTCGCCTGTTCCCGTTTTTTTCCTATTTAATTCTATGCGGATATGATGCCTGGCAACCCACACAATCCCATTGCTACGTACTTATTGTATGTACATTGATAACTGTTGTGGCAGGCGTAGGTGAACTTCTGGTCAGGATTTGTTAGGGCTTACGCTGGAGGCCGTTAAGAGCCATTAGCAGCGTTGCCTGGGCGAAGGGTTAGGGTAGAGCCGATTATCGGCGTCAAAAAACACAGTAGGTTCTCTGCTGCTGCTCAGATTTGGCCTGCAAAAATAATAGATGTGTCCAGGATAATGGCATGGCATGGCGACTGTTCAAGCATGCCTTGGAGCTGGCCCCCTGGGATGCCAGAGGTGTTGCTGCGCGAGTTCTTGGCGCACAATCAGCGAAACATCGTGCTGGGGGATCAGTATTACCGTCAAGCTTTAGCCAATGGCCAGAGAACGGGGAAGATGGTGGAAAAGTTCGAAGAGCGCCGCCAGCAATCCCTAGAGTCCACGAGAGACGGCCTCTCCGCCACATGCATATGGATGTATCTCTCGCCAACAAGGATTCGGTGGGCATTGAAGGCGACATCACGCGTTGGCCCAGATCCGCTGGTCCTGTACTTGAGGGCCACCCCAAATACTCGGGATCCCTGCCCTGACCACCTATTGGGTCCACCCTTTTTTCTGTAAAAATTTGGATTTGCAAAAATCCGTTCCGTATATTATTTACAAATCATCCAATAGTTCAATTTGTGTTTTCCTTGGGGAAGAGGAGGCAAGCTTTAACCCATGGGGATTCCCCGGTGTAGCTGCAGCTGCCCCTCCTACAAACTCTCCTCCTACTCCACTCTTCGAAATGTCATCAGCTGTGTGGCCAGAAGTACACACTTTTCGGTTTTCCCTTTATTTTGTTTCTTATTTCGTTTTTGTACTCTCTTTTACACTTTTTGGGTTTTTCGCTTAATGCAACGAATATCGTTTTACGGTTTTCAGATGGGGTGGGGCGGGATGGGGTATTGTTGTTGCAGTTGCACGTACATACGTGCAATATTTGCGAATTTTCCACTTGCTGCATGACAGTGAAGAGGGCGGGGTGGTAGGTGGGGGATAGGAGGAGGCGTTAGCCGAATGGCGGGAATTTTCCACTTTTATTGTTTTTAAAACGCTTTCCAATTTTTAGCTCTTCTTCGTTTAGTTCTATTTTCTGCTGCTCCCTGCTTCCTGGTTTTGTAGTGTTGCTCTTTGTTACCCTTTGAACGGACAATACTATGATTCTGATCAGATTTGAACGCAACAGGAAGCAGCATCAGTGATCCCATTAGACTCTAATATCTCAATCCATTGCTCGGTAAAAGCCTTTCCCTAACCGATGGCCTATAAATAAATCGTTCACCTATTGGAGGTAGCATCGGAGATATCTTTCGAAAAGGGCATCAAATGCCTCGATACTGGGTCTTTCTTTCTTTCTATCTATCGCGTTTTTGTTGTTTAAGTTGCAATTGCAATTGCAGTTTTATTTTACGCGCAATTTGTCTGCTCTAGGCGTGCGGCGAGGGGGGGGGGGGGGGGGGGGGGGGGGGGTTGGCGGTGGCTCGTTGAGGTCAATGGTGATGGTGCTCCAATAACATTTTCGACCCCCCGCACTCCCACAGTCCCACACTCCCACAAAGTGAATCAAAAGAAATAAGCGAAAAAGCCCCGACAAAAAATCCGAAATTGAAAACCAAATAAATAAGTGAGCTTTCTCTCTCTCTCTCTCTGCGGGTGGTTGGGTGGTTGTGTGTGTGTGGTCCAAGTGGAAATGTAATTTGAGACAAAATATCCGAGTGGCTGTGTGAAAAATTTAGCCACAACATACAACCGTAAGACAACGCTTCTTAGAGCTGTTTTAGGGGGTCCTCTTACAGCACTTCTTGTGCGATATTGGCTCTCCAATATCAGTATCCTTATGTATATCCTTTAATACACACATCGTACGTACTACTTATACATGCATCATTTGAAACATTATATCAATGCACTTAAAGGCAACGAAAAAATGCTCTAATTATTCAATCAGACTTTTGGGAGCCTCTTTTGCCTCTTCTTTTGTCTTCAATAAATAGATGGTCCCCAAAACATCTCTTCCTAGCGGATATTTTTCTTCAACTGTTTATCTTTTGAGACGTTTTTCTCATTCTTTCAGCGGGGAAAATACTAGTCTAACCCACTTTTTCCATCTGTGTGTCTATCTATATCTTGAAACTTGAATGTGCGCTAAATTCCACAACTCCCCTGAAGATCTGTATACAAAGAGGTGGCTATAGCTATATGTACTTTTGTGTCACCCTATCTGAATGATTGGTTCCTAAGCCCCAACCCCTAGAGAACTTATACCCATTCAAAAAGTGCCGGTACTTGTCCTTAATTGTCTGTAAATCCCCTACTATGATGCGGGTAATCCGATACCCACAGGTGTAAGCCGAGTAAACTACTTATGATTTTTGATTTTTAATCATTATTTTATTTCCTCTCTCCCTATTTAGTAGTGCAGACTCCTGAGGGCTTTTGGGGACGCACAGATCTGTCAAAAGCGCAATCGGAGTCGGAATCGGAATCGGAATCGGAATCCTATTCGCAATCAACAAGCTCTCAAGTGCTGTGCTGTGCTGTGCTCTTGTCCGTGGGTTATAGGCCCAAACACCAATTGGAGGCTTCCTTTTGGCTGCCTGCAGCCTGGAGCCTGCAGCAATGACAATGTCATCGGCGCTGACGCTGGCTCTCGCCGAGGCCGTGGCAGAGGCCGTGGGGACCGAGGCAGAGGAGGCAGCAAAATCGCCCGAGGCGGGCGTTGAAATGTTCTCGGATGCGGATATGGCGGAAGTGCGGCATGTTGTTCAACGCATTTTGGTGCCGTGCGTTTTTGTTATTGGACTATTGGGAAATTCAGTGAGCATTTATGTTTTGACGCGGTAAGTGCACTTGTCTACCCACTTAGCCTCTCCCTCCCACTCGCCCTCCTGTAGGCGGGGATTATGGATCCAACCGGTTCGGAAATGGAATGGGAGTGACCATTCAGCAGTATTATTTTGGGCATCCTACATATGTATATTGCATCACTCTCTCCCTGTGAAGGGGGTGGCTGTGGTGTGGAGGTACAGTGAAACATGGCACCGATGAACAGGTACGCAGAGCATTAAACACGGCATTTAATTCTAGCCACCGTTGCACTTTAAAGTTATTTCCAACACCGACAACAATAGCAGCCATTTTATGTGCTCCAAATGTAGAAACCGGGGCGGGGGTACGACGACTGTTGATACCCTGTGAATGGGTATATCATTTGCCATGCTAATTATATACATAGATCCTTAATTATGAGGTCCTCGGGCTCGGATTGGAATATAGAATGTGGGAAATTGCATTGGAAATGACTGTTGCATCTATAGTCTTCGAAAGCCAGATATTCAAAGAACCAACGAGAGGGTATGCTGCGTAAAGAAATGAATACAAATGGGTCTTACAGGGTATCAAATGCCTCGGTTCCGTCCCCCGATGGACGCCTTCTCTTCACGTTTTCTTCTGTTTTTGTTGCTGTTGTTTAACAGATAAGAGACCCTGGGGCATGGCTGCCACGTTGCAAGAGAGTCCGATTCAGTGGTAGTTTTCTGCTGCTGCCGCTGCTGCTGCCGCTGCTGCTGCCGCTGCTGCTGCTGTTGTTGTGGCGAGAGCATTCGAAATGGTTGCAGGATGAAAATATGCGACAGTTGTGTGTGCCCTTCACTGTGGCATCAGGTGTGCCTGTCTGCCAAAAAAGGTCCCATTCAAATCAGAGCCTTACTGAAGATGATGGCGTTGCTGGGAGTGCCATGCTTTGGTTTGCCCCGCAACAAGTTGGATCCCCCTTTTCCATCCTCTGACTGCTCTGATGGGAGATAGTTATATCCTTTATCCTTGAACAAAAATGGAGAAATTTGAGAGAATTTGAGAGAACTATTCGAATCCTCTTGGGGCTCGCTGGATGCCTGGAAGAACAATCCAAAGAGCAGCTCATTCGTGGAATCGACCTGATTGTGGCCATTGGGTGGGTGGGAGTCCAGAGAGAGCCAGAACTACTATAAATGCTGAACAGTTAGTTTTTATTATTGCTCATCTTTTGCCTTTATGACTGTGCCGACATTTGCGTGAATTTTCGAAAAATGCCCATCGTCCTGTTCTGTACAGTCCTGTGCTGTCCTGTGCTGTTCTGCCTGCCGTTTGGCCCCGTTGACTCGCCAACGCTTTCGGGCAATTTGGTATTTCAATTGGTGTTTCATTTTGGCAACGTTTGCATTGTCCACCAAATTGTTTGGCCTGATTTCAACAGCACACACATTCGCAGACACAGATACAGAATGCATAGAGATACAGAGCAGTGCAGATACATTCATAGATAGGAGAGAGGGGGAGACGCTAACAAACACAAATTGCTATTCTTTTGATTTGATTCTTGTCACCATTTAGGAAGCGCATGAGGTGCACCACAAACATTTATCTAACGGCCCTGGCAATTACGGACATTGCATACCTGACCTTTCAATTAATCCTAACACTCCAGCACTACGAGTACATCAAGTACCACTGCGAGATCTACTGGCGCCTCTACGGATACTTTGTCTGGCTATGCGATGTCTCCGGTAAGTAAAAGACGTATATCTTATGGGGAAAAGATGCGCCTAATGCACACATCTATCTGGGAGCTGAGATCTGGGTTCTGGGATCTACATATATCGATCCATATTCGGACTTGGAATGAGATTCGAGATATTCGGGCGAAGCGAGTGAGCCGGGGGTAAGCACAGTAAAGTAACGTAAAGCTGGTTGTGGAATTGCTCTGACGTTGATCGACACTATCCCTAGCTTTCATGGTAGCCTTCCATTGCCTCGGCAGGACACCGTAGCACAATGGCCCCTCTTGTCACCCTTTTTCCCCCTTAATCCCAGCCATCAGCCATGCATCAATGTTGGGGGCACATCAATTGGAATTGCACCTGCGGCTACGGCTTGCTGCTGTTGCTGCTGCTGGTGCTGCTGGTGCTGCTGGTGTGCTGTGCATCAACTTCATTGAGCTCTGTCAATTTACGATGCATAGCGTTTAGCAGCGCTTTCTACAAAATGCTAAAGCGGTCGTCGGTCAGCTGCGGCTCGCAGCCATCCGAAAAGCGCCATCGGAACAGAAACACTCACACTCGCCATCCCCCCGCCGCCCCGGAGTGCGTGGCTCATCAGTGGAACACGGACGTCAATCGCTTAGAGTGCGCAACCGACAGGCATGGCATTCGCTCGGGGACGCTGCCTGAGCAGGGAGTATTCATTGGGGAGGGGAAGGAAGGCGCACCTTTTAATAGGTGCAATGCATGGGCAAGTGATTGTGTCTGTAAGTCATGCCTCTAACCATCTCTCCAACCATCTCTCGCCTTCTGTGACAGCATACATATCCATTTACATAGCCGTGTGCTTTACCATAGAGCGATTTATCGCGATACGGTATCCGCTGAAGAGGCAAACGTTCTGCACGGAAACCCTGGCCAAGAGGGTGATATCAGGTGAGAATCCCCCCCGGGGGTATCCTTTGACTGAACTCGTGATCCCCCCTTTCCCATCCACTCTTCCGCCTCTTTTGACAGCCGTCGCCCTCTTCTGTTTGCTGTCTACGCTCTCCACCGCGTTCGAGCACACAATGGACATCCACTGGAAGTTGATTGATGACGCCTACAAGCCATGCAATCAAACCCCGGCCAATGTCTCGCCAACGCCCTCGCTGCCCACACCGGCGACCGTGTGGCACCAGCAGCAGCAACAGCAGCAGGATGACCCCGAGGTGACCACCATTGGGAGTGCTGCAACGTTTCCCCTCTTCGACGGCAGTGGCAATGGCATCGGCATCGGCATTGGCAACGGTAACGGTAACTTTAACGGTGATGGGGAGTCAGGTGAGTAAACGTTTACCCCGGGATCCGCAGGATGCAGGATATGCATATATATATACGTACCTACATGTGATAGCAACTACAATATTTGCTTTCTCTGCTGCTCCATCTACGCAAACAACAGGCAACATTCCACGACAGCAACACCGCCGGCACTGGCCGTCATCTGTGACGCCGCCGCCGGCCCAGAGTGAAACTCTAGATGCCACCAAGCTGTGGCAGCAGGGCTCAGATGCGGCAGACGGGGAGCGCGACTCCATAGAGCGGGTCACGGAGAGTCTGCTGCAGTTGTCACGTTCCGGACGCAGCGGGGAGTTCAATCACTCAGATGCATTTGCATTTAATGTAACGGAATATTGTCAAAATGTGAGTGGAAAATGTGCGTTGGAAACTGCACGAAAATTTGCCCCACGGAGACGTCACCTCAACTTATGCTTAAGAAAACAGACCCGAGGCTCTCCTTCAGAGTTGAGATCGTAGAATTATTTTTCTAAGGAGGCAATATCTTGAGGGGCTTCGTGAGACAATTTGTTCAGCTTGCACTCTCCTAAAGAACTCTCTGAACTATCGATCTTAGACCGCAACGGGGAATGGCAAAGTTCAGCTTCCGAAAAACATCTTATAAAGTGAAGCCCAAGTCTTTCCCAGAATCTCAAATTCTTTGATTATCTCAAGACTTTTTCCCATTATCTTTTAGATGACTGTCTTTACTCACATTTTCTCGGAGCTGGGCAACAACGATCTGTATGTAAACGTGTGGAGCTTGTTCACTCTGTTGGTATTCGTGCTTTTTCCACTGTTCCTGCTTGCCACGTTCAACTGCTTCCTCATCTTGCTGGTCCACCGATCGAAGAGCCTACGCGGGGATCTAACAAATGCCAGCAGCATAAGACGCACCAAGGTGAGTTCCATCCACGGTCCACAGTCCACAATCCACAATCCACAATCCATATTCAAACTCTACTCGACCTTGCAGCGGAAGTCCAACACTGGTCTGACGGGCAGCGTTTCGCAGGAGAATCGCGTGACAATCACTTTGATCGCCGTCGTTCTACTGTTCATCGTGTGCCAGCTGCCGTGGGCCATCTATCTGATACTCGACCAGTACATGGTGATTGCGCCGGGTGCCAAGGTGATTGCCGGCAATGTGTGCAACCTTCTGGCCGCTCTTAATGCCGCCTCGAACTTCTTTCTGTACTGCGTGCTGTCGGACAAGTACCGGAAGACGGTGCGCGAGCTGATCACAGGGTATCGCTATCGGCGTCGCCATGCCCGCAACAACACGAGTCTCTATGTGCCCCACACGACCACCACGCTGACGCACATCAACGGAGACCATCACCATCATGGTGCGCCTTACGGTGGGGCAGGCGGCAGCAGTCGTCGCAGCTGCAATCGGAGTCGCAACAAGGCGACGGCCACGGGTCGCCTGATAGCGTGAGTCGTGCCGCAGGCTCGAGTGCGATTTCTCTGGCAAAAGCGTGATTTCAGCGTCACTCACTCAAAAGATGATGTCAGAAGTGTTTCTCACGAGTACTGAATGAGTCGCGAATGAGTCACGAATAATGAATGAAGGTTTGAAACATATGCCTGCATAGAATAATGAGTAAAATACATACATATATGATCAAGAGTGCACTATCAAAGTTTCACCGTGATCCAAGCCTGAACAGTGCCTTCATTTCGGGAGTCTGTGAAACGCTGACGAAGGACTCTACATATATATCTCTCTCTCTATATACAGATTATATAACATACATTGTGCCATAATGTGATGATTATAGTTTTATGATAGTTAACCTAAACGTAATTGTTGTCCTAAGTACTAAACGAATCAAATACAAAACCAAAAAAAGACACTCAAGAGAGTTTCAGTTACAGAGTGGCATGCCCCAATGGGAATGCGAGTTGATTCTGAAACGTGGACAGCAGGACAGGCAGTCCTCACGGCAGCATAGAATAAATCCACAGACAGACAGAGAGATGGACAAAAAAATAAAAGACAAAGTGCCATATTCGATATGTATTCAGATATAAGAGAGCGGCCTATGGGGGTTTTTTTTCATTTGCGATAATTAAAGTGTTGACAATGGCCAGCACAACCCCCAATTCTTTTGCAATCTTCATCGACATTTGTACGAGTATCTCAGGCACAGAGGCAGTGGTTTGACCAATACCTAATTGAATGCCAGCCAAACCACTTAAAAACGAGGCCCAGAAACAGAAACCAAGCCAAATCGAAAAGCTGCAGCTCCAGGCTCTCAGCTCTGCACAGGGCAGCAGGGACACAGGACCACAGGGCCACAGGACCACAGGGCCACAGGACCACAGGGCCAGAACGGCTCCAGCTAAGCCGATAATTGAAGGTGCCGGCTGGTCGGTGGCCGATGCGACGCGCTTTGAATCGAAATCCGAGCTAGAGCGGCAAGAAATGCAAGAAAAAAGTGCAATTTTGTTTTTAGCATGTGAAATCGCCCACACAAAACACACGGCCAGGAGAGACCCAGAGTGGGCTTAATGGTAACTAAAATACACGCAGCACCATATGCATTCTAGACACACAGACACATGGATGCAACCGATGGTGGCAACGTAACGGAGTAACAAACATTTGCGGCTTACTGCATTTCTACTTTGTGAGTGTGTGTGTGTGTGTGTGAGTGTGTGTGTGTGTGTGTGCGGGTGCTGGGCTTATCCTGCACACAAACACAAAGAAAGAAAGAAGCTTACAATACTTTCGGCATAACAGGGGTGGGAGTGGGAGTTTCCAATTGATAAGGGAACGAAGAATGACCCCATTGAATATTGATGGAATTGAATGTCTGATAACATTCTCAGGATGTAGCTAATATGGAGATCTTCAACGCGAATGATCAATGATCTTACGCCAAGAATCGTTTGGAATCGAAGGGCGTTCGTTTTCGGAGTACAATGGTGGAGAAGGAAACATTATTTTGGGTTTTCCACCACTGCCACCTACTGCTGGGCATTCCTAATAAGATCATGATCTACCATGGATGACACTGTCCATATACATATGTATCTGCGTTCGGCGATTACCGGTCTCTGGCTTTGGCTATATGTTCAAGCGAGTGAGATCAAATCGATTGATTCGCTGCTCCATTCATCAGCATTCGTTCATCGTCCAGCTAATCAGCTATCGCTCGTGGCAAGGCGACAGTTAGCCATTCGGCTGCCAGGGAATCCTGAAAGAGCTGCGGATAGCCCTATTCCGATGGCGATTCCGGGCGCGTTTCTGCCGCAGTGGAATCGAGAACCTTGCAGAGAAACCCAACTGCAATTTCTGTTTATTTTTTCCTTTATTCATTGCCCAGAAAGACCAATAAAGAAACTGAGACCCAGTTTTAATGTGGCAAGACTGAACACATTTCTAGAAACATGTCTTAGATCTTACCATTAAAATATCTTCCTTCCCGAGATATCCTTTTGTATGATGTACTTCTTACTTGTCTGTTGGTTTCTTTATGCTAAAAAGTACGAAAAGGAAACCCCAAATGGGAAAATAGAAAAGGAAATATATATTAAAATCGAGCAGCTGATTCGCCTGCCCCACCCTTTACTTCTTTTTTCCTCTTCTGCCTTTCTTATGGAGTGCATGAAAAATTACAAGTCAGCTTCACAATTGAAATATTTCCGCCACAACGCACTGAAATGCGCAATCGAAAATAGTTATCTCTTGCCCGGCAACCCACTCGACCCACTCCCACCAGAAATACGGGTGCGGGTACGAGTACGAGTACCCGTACGAGTATGTATGCCATCGATGGGTGGAACGTGGCTCTGAAGTGTGCTAGTGCGAGTGCTGCACGGATGTGGCAGCAACGAGCGAACAGAACAGAACAGAACGGGGACATCGATGTGCGACACATATGTGCATTATGTGGGGCCCAGTCGCCAGTTTCTGGGATGCCCGATTCTGGTCCGAAAAATTTCCATATTTGATTGTTTTTGAACGCCTGCCGTAGGACAACAGGGGGAGCAAACGTACAGAGGGAAAGAGAGATCTGTGGCGTCTGTTTATTGAAAATGGCATATAAAAATCGAGTGGGCGTGGTTCGTGGTCCGTGGTCCGTGGTCCGATTGTCGATTGCCGATAGCCGGAATGTGGAATGAGAAATGGGGACAATGCAAAGGCATAACATACGTAGTACTTTGAGGGCGCTCGGCGGAACGCATGCATATATTTACATACACGTTACATGGGAGATATCTATAGCTTCCTGCCCTCCCAGCCAGCCCAGCCAGCCCAGCGTTCCCCCTTTCCAATCCGCCTAACCAAACATCATCCAAAATGATGAAAAATATTAAGCAAAAAACCATTCAGAAGGATGCCAGCCAGAATGCAGTCACGTTTCGAGTGCCCTTTTTTTGTTGATGGGTTTACTTTCGAAAAGCGATATCTGAATGCACATGACCATCTTTAGGGAGTGGTCCATCCGCCTGAGGGGCCTGCAAAAAAATATATTCCAAATTTACACAAGCTCTTAAAGCGGAGAAGGACTCTCAGCAATGGGATCGCTCTGTCGCAGAATGTGTCAGCAGTCTAAGAATCATTTAGTAACAGAAACAATATGATGACACGACATGTGTGGAACTGTGGCACTCGCTTTCCATGAAGAATCTTGCTGCAGTGCCAAGCCCAATGCCCAGTCGCATATACCTCCTTTGTCGCATGCCACAGAATGGACAGACAGACAGACGGGCAGACGGGCAGTCGGGCAGACAGTATGCAAAACATTCTCCGTGACACAAAAGCGAATCGGCATCGGAGGGGGTACAAAAAATCGCCAACTCAGAACAAAAATAAACAGAAAAAATTAAGCACTCATGACAAAGCGAAAGTCGGATAATGCCATAAAAGCAACAACAGCAACAACAGCAACAACAACAATGCGGCAGCGACAGGGAATAACATTATAAAGTATCATGACAACTTTTTTTCATGCAACTGCAACTGTAGTCAGCCGCCGCGCTGACAGTCAAAAAGTTGCCACAGAAAACAATTTTCTGTTGCAATCTTTATATGCACAGTCTCCCCTGCCCCCATCAAAACGAGGGCATAACATAGGGGCACTGATCACGAAATATTGATTTCGTTTAAAAGAATATTTTTGGGTTGAATTTTTTAGTAGGAAAAAAAAGAATTCGAACTCCTTTCATCCTTTAAATGAAAATTGGTGGAGTTTCATGTCGATATGTCGACTTCTATGTGCAGGTATCCGTTCGATTAGATAGATTTTGTCCAAATTGGGCTTTAATATTACAAGCATTAGGAGAGTCTTCCATTTAAATGGCGCTGATCATGATCTCTCACTTCTTAAGGTACTAGAAACCTGCCCAGCGAAGGGCTGAATTGTTGCATTGTTGGTAATGAGGATGGACTCCATGGTCAGGCGGATATCTTCCAGGAGTAGAAATCTGGGCAATGCAACGGATTGAAGAGGGCCGTCAGCATTATGCGCTTGTGCCTCAAATACGGAAGGTAAGGCCTCAAAAGGAACTTCGCACGAACCCTCAGGAGTCTATACAGTATAGTCCTACATAGTGGGCCTATGGAAAAATTAAAGAATGAATGTTTACAGTTTGAACCTATTCAGATTTCGGCAATAGCTGGAGTCTCACGATTTCCACTCATGCGTTGTCCGCTTTTCACTGTTTAAAGTTAGTTTTCATTGGGGAGACAGGCGGAGAGACAGGCAGGCAGGCCCATCAGAGTAGAGCTCTCTTGCGCGCTGGTGGGGCGAGGGGGCTGGTGCTCTAACGATGCATCAATGATAGACGAGAAAGGAACTTGTATTCACACGCTGCCTGGCTGCCTGGCTGACTGCTTGCCGGCCTGCCTGCCAGTGTGTTTCCACAAAATCAAGCCACATTGATGGAGCGTCAGCGGCAATGAAAAACCAAATGAGATTAACACGTTGCGGCAGTCGGCTGTCAATGAGTAGGGAGGGTATCGTGGGGAGGGTGGTGGCTGATGGTGGAAAAGTACCTACAGCAGGATGTTTGACCCAGGCAGGTCACGGCATCAAGCTGCCATCGAGACTGGCCAGGAGGCAGTGCATCGATTGCGAGAGCTGGAAGCAGAAAAGGAAGTCAAAGGCACTGCTTGGCGATTGCCGATAGTTGGTCGGGGGAAGAGTTTAGGCTGATTGGCATCCTTACTGGGGTAGGGCTGGGTCTGGAGCTTCTATCATCGCTGGGAGATGGGCTTTGAATCCCTTTTGACATTGACAAATAGTGTGCGAAGTGGAATGCAGAATGCAGGCGCACACACGACGATCCCATGCCAGACCCACACCCACCCACGCATGCACACATGCCCCAAGCATGCTGTGGCAAAATGTGTTGGATACTTGCGGGTGCAAATTATTGCCAGAAGGCAGCTGCTCCTGCGTCTGCTCCTGCTGCTGCTGCTGCTCCTGCTGCTGCTCGCCAGTTTGCTAATTAACAAAGCACTTTACAGCTGTCCGCTGCAGCACGAGAGGGGGTGGTGCGCGACAGGGCTGGAGCCCTCCAGCTGGAGCAGCAGCGAACAACGAATGCAATGAGCATACAAAGCCTTTAGGACCATATCTCTCTCTCTCCCTCTCTTTCTCTGGCAGAGCTTAGCCCAAGTCTTGTCCTCACCTTGCGGCTCCTTGCGACTGCCTCCTGTTGCTGCATTAATTAAATTTTATATCGTCGACGTTGCAGCTGCCGCCTGCTGCCGCCTGCTGCCGCCTGCTGTTGTTGTTCCCCTTGTGCCTGCTGCTCCCGTTACCCCGTTAGCCCTGTGAAATATGAACACGTGGCGCGGCAGAGCGCGTTGCATAATTTGAGGGCGCCACCGCCAACGGGC